TGTATAGTTTTTAGGGTTCTATAGCTAAAGGCTAAAAACGATGATCTATATCTATTGCCGCTATAACAATAAATACTAAAAAAAAAGAATGATATAAATTTTTAAGGGTGTTTTCCACACAACAAACGTGATATTTTTGGTCGTTTCCGGTACGGAACCCTTCGTGCGCTAGTCGGACTTTACACTTTGCCGGTTTTTCTATATAGTAAACTGATTTTCAAGTCTTGCAAACGGCAGGGTGAATTCCGAGTCAACCGGCGAGTAATAGGGAACACATTCTGTAAATGTATGAAAAAAGGCTCCGTGTAAAAATGTATGAAAATGTTATGGGCCCCTTTATTTTAGGGCGCACTTGCCGTCTGCCGATAGCCAATAAACCGAAACGGATGGACTCGAACACTCGATGCTTTTAAAACCGGCTATATTTTGTTACAGAAACGGTTTTGATTAAGAATTGTAGTAGTAATTTAATCTTATAGATAGATAGATAAAAGAATTATGATGATTCAATCACTATTTCAATAGTTTACCCTCTACAAAGGAATAAAGTTAGAAATTTTACCTCTTTATAATATAAGCCTTTATATTTACATTGTTCGATAATCAATGCTGACATTATCAAACCTTCAATCCTCAAATTTAGTAGCTTTTTAGAACTTGTAGTAGACTATACGAAACAACGAATGTACTACAACAAACAGACTCCAGACTAGAAAAGTTTATTTTGTACATTGATCCGGCCAGTAATAGAACCCAGGACTTCATAGATGGAATGTATTCTATTTATAATAATAATAGACAAACGGTCAGTTGCACAAATGTCTATTAAAATTGGCATTAGTTGACAGCGACATTACTCATACGAATTACACAGTCATTGGAGTTTAAAGGCGTCATTAAACGTTAATGAACATTTGTGCAACTTATCGAATGTGTGCCTACATTAATGTACAGTCGCGGCGGTCGACGTCCTGACAGTAGAGCTTAGTTTGATATACGACAGTGCATGAAATAAGAGAGAAGGAGCAATAATTCCTTTTACGAGTTAAAGAAGATAACACTACCAATTATTAAAGGTTCGAGTATATATTATTGCTTTGTTCTCTTACTCTTTGCACTATCGCATTTCAATCAAGCTACTGGGCAGACTGTATAGTCAATAGCGCATCAGGTTATACAAAACTGTCAAATTTGTCCACTTGTTTTCTAACCTTAACGTTTTGTCGGTAGAGCTCAAAGTGTGTACATATTATATCGCAATCAAGTAGTTAAAATAGCAGTTAAATTGTATGAATAGATCTTTCAAAACATCGTTTTGAAGTTGAATCAGTATGGCGTTTAAAACGTTCAACATCACGGCTGATAAGGTAGTTGAATTCCATTTTCAACAAAAATTTCGAAATTAATGTTTATCAAATCACGTTAAAGTCCTATATTAATTTACTAATCGAATCAAGAATATACGATATAATTAAAGCAATAGGACTTTGTACATTTTATTTGAAAGTAAATAAAATATTGCTTTAGTAATTGTAAATAACTTCTCATTTTTAATACGTTTATCAAGAGTCACGGCATGACAATCACTTAATGTTCTTTTTTGAGTTATAAAAAGTGTCCTTATTCCGGAAGAGCTTTCCCTTCATATCTTCGAATTGCGGATAATCAAATAATACTAATCTATGGACGCAACGTCGATTCTGGACCTTTTTCCGTCTTCATGACGTACCTACAGCGAAATTTATTGAACCAATAATAGGATATAAAACTAATGCGGCGTAACTGCCTGAAAGGTACGTAGTTTTATTTGTGACGTCAATGATCATACTGGCTAGCTTCTAACCTTCATCTGAAGTAAATTTACTAAAAACCAAAACACATTCGATTAATGCATTCACTGTATTTTGACAACCTTCACGACCGAGTGGCTTACAAGCCGGTTGTCGTCATTTCTGTGGTCTTCTGAGGATTTTCATTAAATTCATATCTATAGTTATTACCAAAGACTTATTAACACGATTTAATATAAAGAAAAAACAAACTAATGACGATGCAGCATGGTCTTTAACCTTCGTCTGTTTCATAAAGGAACGAAAACAGAGTAACTTTTTTTAAGGTCCAATAAATCAATCCATCAAGGTTAGAAACAAACTAAACAGTATCGTTACAAGAAGATTTGAATTTCCTTTATACAGTTTTCTTTGCAAGGAGCTTTACAATAGCAGGTAAAACGGTAGACTAAACATTTGCCTACAGTTTAGCGAATCGGGAGCGCAAGCCAGATGTCGCAAAGAGCATGTTCGCAGCTCATGCACCCCCCCCCTCCCCCATAGGAGTCTCGTAAAAGGAATTTCTCGCACTTATCGCTTTTTCAAATAAAATGTAGCTCTACGCGTCGCGTCGCGACGTTCGTGTTTTATTACGACGCGACGCTTGGATTTATCTCACGGTCGCTCCGAAGAGCGGTGAATAGTTTTTTTTTTTAGATCGGTAACATTTGAAAAAGGAATCTCGCTTATGCGATTCACTTCTTTCTTCCTTAAGTTTTCTGAACGTGTTGGGAGATTTGATAAGGATATAAATAAAAGAGATAGACATGCAACTCCTGAAATTTAGACATATTTTTCATGTGAAGCTGTTAGTATACGTAGAAGCATTACGCACCTTTTCATTGGAAAATAGTACTGTATTTAAAAAGCGACTGATCAAAATGATTGAAAATTAAAACGTCGCTTGCTTAATAAAAATACCAATTTTTGTAATTTTGATAACAGCTTATTCTGTGAGAAAACAATCAAAAAATTTAAAATGAAATTTGGAACTACTGATTTCAATTGTTAAAAGTATAGGCAAACTTGCTATTTAAATGCAAGAAGAGTGACAAAGTACAGTACCGGTGCGGTGTCTAATGAAGAATGCATTGTTAGTGACTAGTGTATTAAGTTACGAGTTTCCTAGTTAATTTCCACACGCATTTAGGACGAGCGGAAGCGCAAATAAACTTGTGTATTAACTAGTTTTATGCAAATCACGATCGCAGTGTTTAAGTGTTCGGAGCCAAGCATTAATCACGTAATATTGTTGTGTGTAATGCGTAACGAGTCGACGGGAATTGATGGAGGAGTGTCAACGCGGCGACTTGCGGTTAATTATCCGGCCCGTCCTTAAAGTGAGGGGGTCCGGGGGTGAGACCATCGATCTATTTACCAGACTTCTGCCGGAATGAATTGTTGTATATTTGCGTGACAGCAAATCGGTCTGTTACATACGAAACCTTCGAGATTTTTGGATATATTCCCAAAATGGGTGAATACGACAGTGTAAGACAGAATTTATTTAACCTCCAACGCAAACAGAAAGGCGTGGAAGTTCGGCGTCCGTAAACCTACATATTTGGTGGTACCATTGCATCGTAGTTCTCAAAGAATTAAACAAATGCTTTTGTTTGTCTGAAAAGTGGCCTGATCACGAATTTAGGACCTCTTTAGCTCATTAGCTCTTCACTAGTTGATACAACAACTTTCACAGTTTTGATCGAATTCAAACTTGGTATCCTTCTTCAGTGATATTGACAAAGATAGGAACTTTGACCCGGAATCTAAAGAACATTCAACCTCTCACCAACTTCAAAGACAGCATGTTCTCAGTTCATTTAATAATGTCCTATAAAAGGTTATGTTTGTTGCCACTGATCATTGTGCAATACCATTCTATTATCATTCGAAGATAAAAAAAAAAAAATAAACAAATGATAAAATTAATCAAGTAATCGTGAGTTTATATCTTGCAGCAAAGAAAGTAACCTAAGAAAGATTTGAAAGGCACCTGTGACTAAATTGTGTTTACTTATTTTTATTTTTATCGTTATACGCCTTAAAACTGTTAGAAAAACGCAAACAGTACCTTTATTTGAAATTAGGGAGTTATTTTTGTACGATTCAGTAGTATAAGAACTTCAGGGTGATATTTTGCAAAATATCCGTAAACTGGTTGCCCTTAAAGATTGCTATATGGTTAATATATTCTCACTAAATTTATTAATGCTGTATTATGTTTCGTGTATCGTTCAGTAGCGGTTTGTTTCTTAGTGTGTATTCACGCGGCATGGTTTATTAGTGGGAGTGTGCATTGAATTATACTTATGAAACGGCCAAGCATTTGTTTAAACGGTAATTCTACATCTTATTCGGAGAAAGAGACCTGGTCAGCTTAAGGGCGACATCGATGCTCGTAAAGTGGCTCGTAAACGGACCTTATTAGTTTAGGTGGGTGATGGCGCCGGCAACTAAATGATATTGTGATTGATATCTAATCTTTACATACACGACGGTCATAATGAAGTATAAGTTGTTATATAAAGTAACAATATTAATCAGATATTCTTCGAAGTGTGGATAACGTAATACTGAAGTCATAAAAGTGATGGTACCTCTGTATTTTTAATCATGTAATTTTACTGATAATAGTTATACGTAAAAGTGGTTTTGGCATAGTAAAAACAAAATATTAGGTAGTTTCATCGTTAGAGTGATGCCGTTTTGTCTAAATCATATCCTACATATTAAGATTGCTATACAAAGATTATACAGGTAGGCTTTCTTGACCCTACAAAGTTTAGTTTCATGAGAAATGTCATCATTTTCAGATTCACTTGACCTTTTTTAAGAGTTCAATGATAAAAATACAGCATTAAACGCAGCGTCGAAGACAGTGCTATTGTAGTATAAGATGTTTGAACAAATGAACTTTTATCATTTTGAAGTAGATTTTATTTTCGACTCTTGACATAGTTTGCGATTGTAAACGACCTAAATTGGTCGTAGCAATTTCATACATTTTTACGAGTATAGTACATTTTTTTTAGGCTAGCTAGGCACGTCCTGTACACGTACGTAGTTTTCGAGCGATAGAATTGGACAGTTCGGTCACTGAACTTTGCGATCGCTATCAATGTCGAGACTGCACGACCTTGTATGAATAAATAGAATATAAGTGAGTACCTGGTGAGGTGTGTATGGGCTAGGTGCTGCCGCGTAAGGCTGCGGCTGTGGCGGCGGGTAGCGGCAAGGCGGCGGCGCGTACGCCGCTGCCCACTGCTGCGTACCGCCGCGGTACTGAGCGCCTGCGCTCGCCATGCGCGCCGCGCACGCGCCTGCGCCTGCGCCCGCGCCTGCGCTTGCGACCGTCACCGCGCCCGCGCCCGCACCGCTCGCTGAACGACAACCGCCGCTGCTCTGTAAATAAAGGAAAAAAGGATTCTTTAAATTTAAATAAATTCCTAATGCACTGAATTGTGGAAATGCGAGAAACTCGATAGTTAAAAAGACATGGCACTATCTTAATTAGATATACAAATAAATTCCTAAAGCGGCGAATTCACTAGCCCGCGGTAAGGTCTGCAGACATGCCCGCCATAGTTGCAGTAGGTATGGGTATGTTTGCTAGTGTGACCATCGCAGTCATTACACAGAGCTATAGTAGCTTGATCCGGCGGGCATTCCGCTCTTATTCCCGGCTTAATGTTATTTTAATCGTGTTACGTCATTTATCTAATCATTACAGAATGGTTGTAGGTATAATATCTATAAAAGACACGTTTATTTTTGCATTTTCAATATTACCAGGATTACCGTTTCTCGAAAGGTGGGTAGTACACATGAAAATTATTATCTTCGCACGGTTTGCGACAAACTTTCACTGCTTTTCATTAGTTTAGTTGACACAATAGTGTATGGTATGAATAGAAGACTGACTCGATGCGATATCGAATCGGAACAATATATTCCCTTTAGAGTTGAAACTAAACTGATTAGTCAGCCACATTGTTGTTGCAAATAAATAAGCGTATACGAGTATATTGTATGAATCGATTTATAAACGCATTAATTAACAATTTTCTATACAAAATAATTATTTCTTAATTCTATTGGCGTGTATTCTTATCAGTTCAGTTTTCTCAGCCTACCCTGCAAGACTTCTGGCGTAAAGACGATAATTTTACGAAAAAAGTTTCACATGTAAAAGGTTAAATATTTTAACAAAGTGCCTGATTTTCAATTTTTTCTAAAATAAATTTGGGAAATAAATTCACTTTATTGGGAAAATAATGGCGTATCTGCATATTAAATGTACCCAAATGTACAAAACAATTTGAATAATTCCTTTTGTTCTTAATATAGAACGACATCAAATATAACCTTGTTCATTAAGATCAAAGCAGAGTTAACAAATCAAACATTTGCTTATCTTTAGTTCAGTCCGAAAATTTGTTTATGAATAATGATGAACCTTCAGAATCTCGTAGGTTGTGATTACCGTTCCAAGACTGCAATTTTCCCTTATTATTTCCGAGAAGTGCTAAGACACATCTGCCAGTAAAGACGCAATAGACGTTTGATCACGACACTGACGGAGATATATGACTACGCTAGATTGGTATCTTGTGTGCTGGTGTGCCATGACGTAGCGAATTTTGGTTGCTAGACTTTCGAAAATATTGCACGCTTTGGGACGCCATTAGATAAAAAATAATGTAATTTTTATCACACGTCTGCCTAAAAAATAGGGTAGTGTGTTTAGGGTAAATGTTTGTGTATAATTCTTTATTTCATCATAACTTTTAAAAGACTTAATGGATACGGATATACGAGTATAAAGATATATGTATAGGGTATCATTAGAAACGTTATCACAAGTGACAAAGACTGTCACTAGTATATATATACGAATACGGCAGATGTATGACGCCGTTTAAATAAATGTGAAAGTGATTTTTCATTAATTATAGAAATACGTATAATTTAATATTCAATATGGAGGATGTATGACGCCATTTAAAAAAATTCGTATGTTTTTTTTTCATCAAATTAAAGGTCGTGGTTTTTAAATAAATTATTCTTTGTTGTTTTATTTATCATGACATGTATACCTATAATTATAATAATAAATTGATGAATTATTCCGAATATAAAGCTCCACTTTCATTTTCATCCCTTAATTGTTTTTTTCGGGATAAAATATAGCCCATGTTCACCGCAAGTGACGTTAGCTTCTCGTGTTGAAAGAATTTTTAAAGCCAGTCTAGTAGTTTCGGCACAAATCTTTCCTCTCTATAATATCTTTAATTATTCAATAAAATATTCGGTAGGAGAATTTACAATATTTGTAGATAAAACAAAATTACTTTTATAATGTGTGTTTCATTACGCGTAATACAATCTGACATTATCATCTATTCTTTTCATATTGACAAGCCAAACGAATTTCATCACATCTTCTTTTTCTAAATACAATAGTACCTAATGACGATATCATACCCCTTTACAATATCAACTTGATATAATACTAGCTGTTTTTCCGGAACTTCGCACGCGTAAATTATAGCCTATGTCAACCTCTTTTAATGCTACCCGTATGTGAACGAATTTTTTAAATCGGTCCAGTACTTTCGGCGCCTATTCGATGCCATCAAACATATAAACAATCAAATCTTTCCTCTGAGTAATATTAGTAAAGATGAGTAAAAACAAATGGAAAACAATTTTCACAATTCCCGGTCTATGTTTATAGATTTTACAAGTATAAATAAAAGGGAAATATGATACAATATGAAATTCCTTTAGTGTTATATGCCTAATTGTTATTCCGAACGGGCGTGTTCACCGAAAATGAGATTTATAGTGGCAATAACAATGTATAATTTTACCCGGCGATCCCCATCTTCGGACTTAATTATGTGAGTCACGGAATTCGAAAAACCGTGTACGAAAGCCTAAGGGATCAAGTCTTTGTAACCGTTTTTTCTTCTCGGTGAGTTTGGTTCTTATAATTTTTTTTTTGCTATTGTTAGAAATAAGCAAGTATGGTAAGACGATAAGCAGGCAATCCGCTTAGTGCGTGGGAGTGGTGGCATCGAGGAATTAGGATAAATTATATACCGATAATGACTACGTTGTCTTGGTATCAGATTCCACCATTTATCCGTCTGATGGCACAGATTATTTGTATCGACGTTACGCTACTGTCAAATGTGTCGGGAATTTGAGACGGTTCAATACAAGCTACATTGGGGAACTGAATTCCTAGTCATCCTTAAAAAACGTTAGGTTTTGTTAAAATCAAAGGTAAAAAATTCCTACTTTCTTGATTCGATACTTCTTTTAGTTGAGTGGAAGGCGAAAAAAAAGTCACAACATTTCAAGAATAGTAACAGGATTTATAAAAAATTGCAATTAGTATTACTTAATAAGTCACCTGTCAAAAGAACAGGGACAAATTAGGTTCAAGTTAGTTTAAGTGATTAATCAATATTCTAGTCTGCTACATAATTAGACGTCGTACCAACTAATTTGCTTTCTCAACGAGTCAATTTTAGTGATAGACTTACTTAATAATTGAATATTGTTTAGGACTTTATGCAAAGCATAAGCAAAAACCTGTGAATGGTTTAATATCATTTTTGCACAAATAAAATGCTGTTATGATTTTAATAAAAAAATAATAAATCAAATAAATCAGATCGAGCTGCCAAAAAATAATATTGTGGAAAAAGTAAACGTCGTTGTCCAACTTGAGACATGAAAATTCCGGAATGTTCGGAACTAGCACAAGACCGAATAAAATGGCGCTATTGTGTATTCGGATCGCTGATCCAGCGGAGGAAGTGAGCAAATAAATCAAATGTTATATATAATATCGGCAAAAACAAACACGGCTCAGCATTGATTGGTCTGTAATAAAGATCACAGATGCAGTCGGGACCGACGGCCTTAGCGTGTCTTCCGAAGCTTAGAGGTCACGATATTTGATATAACCAAATCATGGAACATTCAACCGGAATAAAAATCACCTGTGACAATCTAGGACTTGGATTCTCGAATCATTTTAAGCAAGATACTTCATTCGTAAAATGAACCATAGATTCAGTATTGAACCCAAACCACCTTAAAAACTCAACGCCAGTTGTTTCCCTTCGATACAAAATACATAACAATTTAAAAAACTTGCGGTTACTTGAGTGAGTAAACTTCAGTTTCTCATCAAAATTCAATAAAATAAGAAATATAGTTAAAAGTACATTGAAAGTTTGAAATAAGAACTTGTGTCAATTAATAGGAGTCGATTTATTGAACCTCGCTGATCTAAAAAAAAAGGTTCTCGTTTATTGACCCCGAGTAAATAGATTTAACTCGATATCAATTCGATATCTACAATTTGGGGAATTCATGGTCAATTGCTATAAACATAATATATTTCAAATAGAGTTTATACTCTATTTGAAATATATTATGTTTATAGTAATTCAAAAGAACTTCAGTTGTTTGTCGGTTAACAAACATCTTTCTCAATTGCTAACATTAAAAGGATCTGATATGAATCCCAACAATTTTGTTTTCCACAAATTCTTAGCGAGGCCGGTACTATATCTTGACAACTTTGAGACGACCAAAAAACGGGAGCGATTAAAGAGTCAAATAATAGAGGCTGTTGGCTTGTTGTCTCGTCTGGTGGTAAGAGCTATCGTTGTAGAGGGAGATTTAGTTTTATGTCGAGTGGGATCAACGGCGCGGCGTCGCGACTGTGCGGCGGCGCCGGCAGCTTGTTGCTGACCTCCCCCTCTATATAACCACCCCAACACCTACACAATCTAACCCTAAAAGCCGCAGAAAATGAAACTCAGCTGGAAATGTCACTTAGCGCACATCGGAAATTACAATATCTACGCCAATATAACGCCTTAGGCTTATGTATCCGTATTTATTAGGATTATTTGTTACTTGATTGAGTTTGACTAATAATAATGACTCTAATTGTAAACCATATCCATATAATCTGACTATTTCATGTTATTTTAATGTGAAATTAAATTTCGAAACGATCACGGAGCTTCTGCTCGGTAATATAATTCCGCGGAAGTAGCGCTCGTTCGCTCGAACTTACAAAGTTATTGTCCATTCAAACTTGGATAGTCGTAAATTCCATATGACTACAAATAAAACATAGTTTCGATACAAAAAGTGTCTGATGTATTTCTCAATTAACTTTTGTAAAAGATCGCCTTCCAGATTCTACTTTCAGTAGTTGGTATCGAGCTCTTCATCTTTTCTAGAAATAATCATTAAATATATTATTGTATCGTTATCGTGTGGATATACCATTAGCGATTTAAAATAATTTTTGTAATGGGCTTGATATACTTCGTGAGATTGAACCTCAAATATTCAACCATTACACT